AATCACAAGGTGGGCTCCAGTGACAACCAGTCCCCATCCAAAAGTCACGACAAAAGACACATTTGTTGCTCTATTCACTTGGGAAATTCTAAGTGTTTTAAGAGCTGTGAGCCAGGAACCGTGGATGAAAGCCAAACATATATGAGAAGAATATTTTGGTTATCTGAATGACCAAAGAAGTATTTCTTGTAAGTCACCAGATCCAACCACTCTGGTGGGGGACTTTGATAATGGGGAGGCTATACATAGGTGGGGGCAAAGTTTATGTGGGAAATAGCTGTACCTTCCCCTCAGTTTTTCCATGAACTTGATGATGCTCTGAAAAATAAAGTCTTAATTAAAACGAAAATAAAGGCAGTAGAAGGGTTGCTAAAAATGGGGACCCTAAAATCAGATGTCCTGGGCTTGAAGCCCAGTTCCACCACTATTAGCTCTGTGATATTGGTCAAGTCACTCAACCTGTCTGCGTTTCAATAGCCTCATTTGTAACGTGGAGAATCTAGAGAGACCTGCCTCATAGGGCTGTTGTGGGGCTCACAGGCGGGACTGTAAGGAAATGTTCTCAGAAAAAGCCTGGCGCATGTAAACATCAGTGGTTACTGCCCTCCTAAAGGCCACGCGGAGCCGCTGAGGGAGGGGCTCTAAGCAGAGGGGGTATTTCCAGCTCCCTGGAGGTCACCTCAAATCCAGACACTGGCATTTACTGGAGGACTGTTTACCTGCCCCTGCACTGGTGCTTCTAGTAGCTGGAAACCTTTGCCCTCTGTTTATCAGGAGGCACCCAGCTGGGAGTCTCCGCTTCCCCCGTTTGCTGGCACCTTCCTTTCTTGCCCAAGAACTTTATGGTTTTGTCTCCACTTCCTCTGGTTAAACGTCTTTGAGGTGAAGGGGATTCTCTTGGGCAAAAGTAGTGCTTCCTCAGTCCCTCTTCCCTTCTTGCTAGGGTCTTTGGTCCTCTGCTGGGTGTCTCAGCATAGCATCGAACATTTTCTTATCTCCAGAATCTCAGGAGTCACTCTCTCCACTTTGGCCAAGAGAACCATGTCTACACTTAGGCCGCATCTGTAAAGCACTTTCCCACAACTTTTTGTCAGCTGAGCCTCCTCAAAACAGTCTTGTGAGATAGACGGGGCATGGCAGCACTGAGGCCCAGAATAGTCAAGCGACTCACTGAAGATCACACAGCGAGCAGGTGGCAGAGCTGGAACCCATCCAGTCCTCTTTTCTACATAACAATAAAATACCATAATCTACGTGTGTGGCACCTGTGGTGTGCCAGGCACCGGGGGGCCAGGTTTTTACCTACATAATCTCATTTAATTTGCACCAGTGCTTCTCAAACTTTGCTGGATCCGAATTCCCTGGGTGCAATGTTAAGATGCAGATTCTGACTCAGCAGATCAGGGGTGGGGCCTGAGAGTCTGCATTTCAAACAAGCTCCCAGGGCATACTGAAACTGTTGGGTTCGGCAGACTTAGAATTTGAAAAGCCAGGGTCCTCTCAGTGTCCTCTGAGCTGGGATTCATCCCTCTCATTCTCTCAGGTGAGCAAATGTTGGTTCCGGGTGGTTGAGAAACTGCTCTAGGCCAACCAGCTAGGAGGTGGCGGAGCTGAGATTCAAACCCAGGCGTTTGGGTGCCAGATCCGGGGGGCCGGCCTTGATATCCCAGCTGCTTCACACCGGGGATCAGGTGGCCTTGGCTGCAAATGACTGAAATCCTATAACGTCACCTGCCTCTGTCACCAGCCAGCTGGGCTGGGCAGCTAAGATGGCTTCTCCACCTTGGAATGGACTTCACCCCACGTGGCCTGACCTCCCAGCAAGGGATCCATTATGACTGTAAAGTCCCTTGCCACACAGAAGTACCATGAGGCCATATGTTAAGAATGCACCCTTGCAGGGAAAAGAGGCTAAGGGACACTCCCACACGGAGTCAAACATGCCATGCTTGGCTGCGGGGGCCATGCTCCATCACCAGGGTGCCTTCAAATACCTGTCTCCGAGGCAGAGGTCACTTCATTTTTATTTATTTTTATTCTTTTTTAAATAACAGCTTTATTGATATAAAATTCACCCTTTAATTGCTTTATTTGGGGGGAGTAATTAGGTTTATTTATTTATTTAATTTTTAGTGGAGGTACTGGGGATTGAACCCAGGAACTCGTGCATGCTAAGTATGCGCTCTACCACTGAGCTACCCCCCCATTAAAGCATACAACTCAGTGGTTTTTAGTGTAGTCACAGAGTTGTGCAACCATCACCACTATCTAATTCCAGAACATTTTCATCATCCCCTAAAAGAAACCCCATACCCACTAGCAGCCACTCCCTTTTCCCCTCTCCCCTCAGCCCCCCAGGCAACCACCCATCTGCTTTCTGACTCCATAGATTTGCCTATTCTGGGTATTTCATGTGAATGGAATCATACAATATGTGACCTTTCGAGTCTGGCTTCCTTCACTGAGCATCGTGTTTCCAAGGTTCATCCATGTTGTAACCTGTATCAGAACTCCGTTCCTTTCTCTTGTCCAACAGCACCCCATTGTGCGGAACGCCACATTTTGTTGAGACATTTATCAGCTCATGGACATCTGAGTTGTTTCCCTTTTTTTGGCTATCATCAGTAATGCTGCTATGAACATCGATGGACATCCGTGTGTAAGTTTTTGTGCGAATGTATTTTGTTTCTCTTAGGTATAAACCTAGGAGTGGAATTTCTAGGTCGGAGGGTAACTCTCTGTTCCATCCTTTGAGGAACTGCCACACTGTTTTCCAAACTAGCCGCCCCATTTTACAATTTCACCGGTGATGAGGCATCAGGGTTCTAGTTTCTCCGATACTTGGATTTCTTCATTTCCTTTTAAAGCTTCTCAGTGGAAACTGAGACTTCCCTTTGAGCAATGCAGCGTGGAATAAACACACAGCAACTGTGCTGTGCAGAAGCCAGCTTTCCCTTGGAAACTAGCAGGCCGGGCCTTGAGTGCTGGTCCTCCCACTATGCTGTGTGTTTTCAGTCGTGGCTTAACCTCTCTGAGCTGGTCTTTCTCTTTTGAGACCTGAAGTGGGATCTAATAATTGAGATCACAGGCAAGGAGCATTTGAGAAACTTTGAGCAACCTTGCCCCCTTTTTTTTTTAAATCATCCACTCCCAAAGGCCTGATCTAAATTCACACTTTCCCTAAGAGGGGCCCACCGATGGTAAAAAGCATCTAAATTTAAATCCCCTCTTTGTCTCTTACTGTCTATGAGTCCTTGGCCTTGTAAACTTTACCTTTCCAAGTCTCTGATTCTTCTTCTGTGAGGAGGAGATTAGACACCACATCCCAGGGTTGTTGCCTGGATAAAATGTCTTACAGTGAGCGTGCAATTGATGAGAGGTGTTATTATTAAAACACGGAAGACCCATTCATCCCACCAGCACTCGCCCAGATCCTCTTTAGTGTCAGTTGCTGTGATACCAAGACGATTAAGACCCTTCACGTCTGTGCTCACAGGTTTTGGGGAGCAGCCAGATAAAGAACTGTGTGACAGTGTGACAAGTACTAAAAAGAGGCGTGTTTAAAGTTCTTTGTGGCTGGAGAGGAAAGAGCACGGTAAGCAGAAGGAAGCGGCCACCGGAAGGTCTGAGTGGCGCTGGGGCAGGTGGGAGAGGCCCCTTTCTACAGGGTAGACAGCGAGGTCACGTACTCCCGGATCATGGTCCCCTCCTGGCTACCACCTCCCCCACCCACATCCAGGATCCAGAAGTGGCCTCTCTACACTGAGACTGGAAGGAGGGCAGACCTTTGGCTTATAACTCTAGATCAGATAAAGGCTTAACACCCTCCCTGAGCATACATCCAAACCTCTGTGTACCCAAGGGCACAGTGGACGCCTTGAAGAGCGCCTTTATAGAGGGAAAGAGACACGTGACATAAAGTGGGTTGTAGGGGGTGGCAGAATGGGGCAGAGAAAAGGGCTTCGAGTTATAGCTCTGCCACTTAATAGCCTGTGATTTCTGGCAAGTCACAACTGCTCATTCTAGCCTCAGTTTACCCACCTGCAATATGGAAATAAACACAACCTTCCTTAAATGGTAAGTGTTAAGATGAAGTGAGGCAGCATAAAAAATCCTGTTGCAAAAGCTCAGGGCTATAAACCTGCATGAAACCTGCATTGTCGTCTGATGAGTGAATGAACAAAACGTGGTACATCTGTCCAGTGGACTATCATTCAGCGACAGAAGGAATGAAGTGAGGATACATGTTACAGCATAAATGAACCTTGAACACTTGTGATAAGTGAAAGAAGCCAGACACAAAGGACCACACATTGTATGATTGATTCCATCTATATGAAATGTCCCGAATAGGCACATCTCTAGAGACAGACAGTAGATTAGTGGTTGCCGAGGGCAGGGGGAGGAGGTTGGGAGACATAGGGAGTGGCTGCTGGTAGATACGGGGCTCCTTTGGAGTGGTGAAAATGTTCCGGAATTAAACAGCGGTGAGGATTGCACAACCCTGTGATTGTACTTAAAACCACTGAATTATACACTTTAAATGGGTGAAAGGTATGTGACTTATATCCCACGAAAGCTCTTCAGAAAAACAGAAGCATGGTTATTTATTTATTGTCCAGCACCCATTTCTGGAAAGACACCAGGGGACAAGCACAGCTGAATAACTGTATTATCTAGCGTTGGTGTCTTGCTTTCACATCTCTTCGTATTTCAATTTTTATTAGCTTATTTGTTTGTTCATTCACTCCACAAACATTTCACCGTGCCAGATCCTGGGCGTACAGGCACAAACGAAGCATTGATCTGTGCATAGGAAGCTCCTGGCTCTTTGTTTGGAGGCGGCCGGAGGGTGCTACGACAGAAACGAGCCCAGGATGCTATGGGAGCAGAGAGGAGGACCTCTGTACCAGGTGGGAGCATCTGAGAGGCCTCCTGAAGGAATCACCACCCTCAAAGCTGCAAGAGGAAGGGAGGAAGTGTGGATCTTTTATTTTTTTAAGGGGAACACACAAACGTGGTCCCCTACTACCACAAATCATGCAGTCAAGTTTCCCACATTGGGGGACATCGCAGGGGTCAGCACGTCCGGAGTACAATGGGTAAGCCTCGCCCCGGGAAAACCACCTTTGTGATCATGGTGTCTCCCCTGCCAGGTAAGTTTTTTTTTTCTTTGCCCACCACAGCATTTTATTTTTAACTTTTTCTTTTTTCATTTAGTTTTTTTGGGGGCGGGGAGATAATTAGGCTTATTTCTTTATTTTTAGAGGCAGTACTGGGGATTGAGCCCAGGACTTTGTGCATGCTAAGCATGCACTCTACCACTTGAACTATACCCTCCCTGCTAAGTGTGGCGCTTTGAGTGACGGCATGAAGACTAGGGTGGGCCCGGGGCCGAAAATGTAAATGAGAACTTGGGAGCCAGTGCACCAGATTCACGGAATGATGTTTGTTGAGTGCATGCTAAGAGAGGGGCCCTGAGTGCCATTCCAGGGAAGGAGAAGGCATGGCCTGTGCTCAGTAATCACTTGCCGAATGTGTAACACATGTATAAAATAGAGGTGCTCAGGATCCGCCGCCTGAGATATTGATTTAATGAGAATCTCCCCAGGGTTTCCGAGGTCTGATGGAGTGGAAACTCCTCAGCAGGACCACAGGACACCTTCTGATTAGTCCAGCGTTTGCCCCACTTTAAGAGGATGCAAACTCCCTAGGGGGCTTGTTAGCATGCAGATTGGAGTCCGTGGTCTGGGCTGGGTCCTGAGACTTCTAACAAGCTCCCAGGTGAGGCTGGTGCTGCCAGGCTGCCCGTCCAAGGACCTCAGTTTCTGCAGCATGTCCTTGCCCCTTCCTACCCCTCCTGCCTCCTTGACCCTTCCCACCCAGACACTGAGCTGCTCAGAGTCCTGCACAGTATGTGTCTCCTCTCCACTGGGCCTCGGGTCCAGGTTTCCTGCCCAGAATGACCTTCTCCTCCCCTTTCACCTAGATGCCCCCCTTTTGCCCTGCCAGCACCCCTGCAGTGCTTACTCTTCACCGCACTTACGCACTTACCGGGCTGTTCTGTTAGCATCAGAGCATCTTCGGGGCAGAGATTGCAAGTGGTCCATCGCCAGATCTCACACCTGGCACAGGGTCTGGCAGAAAATATACCCTCCAGAAATATTTGGGGAATAAAAATGAACCTCCTAGAGGAAGTAAGAAAGAAGACTCAGGATCAGCATCATAATAGCAAACACCCTTTGGCACTTACTCTGTGCTGACGCATGTCGCTGTTTGACACATACGATGTCGTTGCATCCTCACAACAACCCAAGCTTCTAAAGGACTGTCATCACCTCCCTTTCACAAAAGAGGACACTGAGGCACAGACAGTTTCCATAGGTGGTGGAGTCTGGATTGTGACCCAGGCGGAAAGAGAGAAGTGTCGGCAGAGGATGCCACAGGTCAGAGGGAGGGGAACAGTCCTGGGAGGGGTCGGGGTCTTGCTGGATGAGGGGGCGGTCGGTGGGCAGAATGGTCGCAGAAGGTACAAAAGCAGTGGTGTGACAGTGGCCAGTTCGTAGAGTGGGCAGATTCAGAGCACAGTGAGCTGCTGCTGCTTGGGGGGTAGATCCCCGCAGAGGACCAAGGGGTGACAGGCCTTATCAGGAGGCTGGAGATAATTGCATGAAGCCCAGGAGATCCACCTAGGAGTCTGGGCTTCACAAGGAAAGCACTGCAAAGGGTTTTGGCCAGAGAGGGGCAGGCTGTAGTCTCGGCTCTTTGAGGGTCTGGGCTGAGTCTACTGAGATGATGCAGCCAGCTGAGAGGTTTTGGATTTTGTGCAGTGAGCGTACCTAGGTTCAAATCTCAGCCTCGCCACCTATATTAGCTGAACGACCTTGATCAAGCTACTTAACATTCTGTGCTCCAGTTATCTCCTCTGTAAAATGAGGAGAAAAAAGTCATGACGACTGGGTTGTTGAGAGTACTGAACTGACAATAACCACAGTGCTGTCACCGGCCCTGAGGGAGCTAGTATAATCTTGGGCAAATGACTCGACTCCCCTGAGCCTCGGATTCCTCATCTGGAAGATGTGGGAGATTAATAGTAGCCACATCAATAGACTGAGATGAGGATGGAATGAGGCAATGTATGTGCCAAGTGCTCAGCTCCATGCCTGGCACAGAATCAGGGTTCAGTAAGTCTGTGCTGAGCTGATACGCGTAGCTAGGCTTCAGGACCTCAGTCTCAGGATGCAGAAAATACCAGTGGAAGTCGGGGAGGGTCCTGCTGGGAAGCTCGGGTCAAGGTCTGGAGGAGAGGAGGCAGGGCTAAGGGCCAGAGACCAATGAGATGCCAGGGAGAAGGAAAGGGAGACTGGGTAAGGTGGTGGTGAGGGGAGTGAGGGACAAGAAAGGACAAGGGCGTGGGGGAGGCCTCTGGGTTTGAGTCTGGTTGGCCTGAAGAGGCCGGCAACGTGAGCAGAGCTGGGAGTCAGGTGTGCAGACAGGTTTGGCAAGAACCACATCGTTAGACAACTGAACAATAGGGGAAACAGACCAAGAATCTTGAGTAATAAAACTGGAAGTGATCTCAATGTTTTTCTTCACGCTTTAAAATATTTTCTAACTTTAAAAAAATGGGGATGAGGTGGGCAGGGCATAGCTCAGTAGTAGAGTGCCTACTTAGCATACAGAAGGCCTTGGGTTCAACACTCAGTACCTCCAAATAAATAAATAAACCTACTTACCTCCCTCCCCCCAAAAGAAAAAAATAATAAAATTTTAAAAATGAGGATGTATTATTTTATGTTTATATGTTAATTTTAGCATATTTTTAAAACTTTTATTGTAGTAAAGTTGATGGACAATGAAACTGTTCAGGTGTTTCATGACTCAGCTATACATACACAAATATATATTCGTTTTCAGATTCTTTTCCATTATAGATTACTACAAAATATTGAATATAGTTCCCTGAAATTTAGGATGTATTTTTATATTTGATTTATTTAAATAGATAATACATTCATATAAGTCTAAATTTAAGAGCTATAAAGGTTTTTCTCAGTGAAAATTCTCCCACCCCTATTTCCCAGACACCCAGTTCTTCTAAGAACAGTCAGTGTTACTTCTTACATATCCTTCCCAAGATTTCCTATATTTAGTCTAGGATGTATTATTTTTAGCATAAAAAATTGTGTGGATTAAAAACAAAAAGACTGAAGGCCACATACAACAAAAGGAAAAATAGGCAAATTGGATTTCATGGAAAAAAACCTTTTATGCATCAGAAAACACTATCAGCAGAGTAAAAAGGCAACACAGAGATTAGGAGGAAATACTTGCAAATCATGTATCTGATAAGGGATTAATATCCAGAATATACAGAGTACTCCTACAACTCATCAACAAAAAAAACCCAAACAATTTGATCCCAAAATGGGCAAAGGACTTGAATAGACATTTCTCCAAAAAGATAGACAAATGGCCAATAAGAACATGAAAAGATGCTCAACCTCACTAACCATCAGGGAAATGCAAATCAAAACCACAAGGAAATACCATTTTATACCCATTAAAATGGCTATTATCAAAAGCAAAAACCTTTCATCTGTTTTCCTGTTGCATAATCTTCTTTGATGACAATACTTTTTTTTTTATTACAGAAAATAACAAGTAGAAGGGAGGATGTGAACAAATTGGAATCCTTGTGCATTGTTAGCGTGAAGGTAAAATGTATAGACGTTATGAAAAACAATTTAGTCTTCCTAAAAAGTTGAAAATAGAATTGCCATATGATCCAGCAACTCTTTCTCTGAGCACACACCCAAAAGAATTGAAAAGAGAAGAGAGATTTGTGCATCCATGTTCATAGCAGTATTAGTCACAATAGCTAAAATGTGGAAGCAAACCAAATATCCATCAGTGGATGAATGGATAAGCAAAATGTGGTCTGTGCATACAGTAGAATATTATTCAGCATTAAAAAAAGAAGGAAATTCTGACACGTACAACATGGATGAAAGTTGAGGACATTATGCCAGGTGAAATAAGCGAGTCTCACAAAGACAAATAGTGCGTGGTCCCACTTACATGAGTGATGGACCTAGAGTAGACAAACTCGTAGAGACAGGAAGTGGAATCATGGTTTTCCAGGAGGTGGGGTGGAGCAGGAGAAGAAGATGGGGAGTTACTGTTCATTGGGTACAGAGTTTCAGTTTTGCAAGATGAAAAGAATTTTGGAGACAGATAGCAGTGATGGTTGTACAATAGAAATGTCCTTAATGCTGCTGAACCGTACACTTAAACATGATTTAAGATGGTGAATTTTATGTCATGTATGTATTCTACCACAATGAAAACAAACTGGGAAGAAAAAAAAGGCTGACCATCAGGAAGAGGCTGGGGTTGGAGAGATGGATTTGGAAGTCCATGGGTATCATGTTTGAAAGTGGAGGAGTGGGTTAAAAGCTCAGGAAAGAGGGTACAGATTTAGGAGGGAGAAGAAGAGGGCTGAAAACAGCAGGCACTGGGATGTAGTCTGTGGCATGTGGGCTCTGAAGCTCCACCGACACGGGCTGAACTCTGGCCCCACCACTTAGTAGCTGTGTGAACTTGGCAAGTCACTTAATTTCTCTGAGCCTCCACTTCCTCATCTGTAAAATGGGGATAATATTCATATCTAACCTTACGGTGTCATTGTGAGGCTTAAATGAGATGATGTTTAAACAAAGCACTTAGCAAAGTGCCTGCCACGTGGTGAATCACTCAATAAATGTGAGCCTCTGGTAGAGATGCTATTAAAAATGGTTAACAACAGATATAAGACTGGTACCAAACAATTGGAAGAAACACCGCCTTCAGCAAACAGATGTAGCCCAAACCTGGGCATTCCAGCGGAGTGTCCACCCTGGGCTAGGGACCAATCATGGAAGGGAGGACAGGAAAGGCAACCAGTCCCTCTGGGAAGTTTCTGGGAAGTCTGTGTTGGGAGGAGGGGATGTTGAGCAATTTCAAATGCTGTCTAGGAAGGCAAGACCCGAGTGAGGCATTCAGCCTGTGGACCGCCGAGGAGCAGTTTCAGGGAAAGGGAGGGGCCCAAGGTGAGGTAGCTGAGGGCCTGATGCAGATGCTGTGAGTTAAGGCTCACTTTTTGGAGAAATTGGCTGATGAGTG